GGTCAGAATCCTTAAAAATATATGTAAGCGCACTCTGTCGACCATAGAGGTTCACTTTCTTTGCCTCCCTCCAAGTAGGCCCAATCCCTCTCCATCTTGTGCTCTATCGCTTAATTTGTGTACATTTTGAGCTTGGCCGCGATCCGTGAAGTTCGCTTCACAGTATCGCTGTTCGATGCTGCTGCTGATTTATTTGTTACATAATCAGTCTTTTGTACCTCTAAACAAGAGCGATTTATTCTTGTCCTGATTTGCTCGTATGCTTGATTGTTTGTATGCTCATTCACATCAATATTTTCGTATTTTCAATCATGCTCTTCCTTTTCATTTGATTTCACATTGTCCCTTTCAGACTTATCCGTTAGTTTGGCAAGGTCGTTTATCATTAAAAAATGCAGAAACGCGGGTTGCTTTGCATTATATCCATGGAAACCCAACGCTGTTGCATGATTGTATGCGACTTCTGGCGTCCGGTGGCGGTGGGCAACCGCAACATTCCTTGGTTTCAAATGGTGGTCCACTGCGGATAGTACAACGAATGCGATTAGAACCGGCTCAACTGGAGGGTGTACAACGCAAAATTCACCAGGACGGAGCATCTTGTGCTTGTCTGGCACTGCCCGCTGGAAATAGCACAGCCGAACTAATCCAACAAACACAGATCCTCAACGAAAGCTTCATCCGTTACATGCAAGAGAAAATGGCCGCCGGAATAATCAATGTTGGTTTTCCGGAGTATCAGCAGGTAATTCTTTGAGAAAATTTATTCTACTACTTACCACTTGATCTCACTCGCTCCCAACTGTCTTTATTTTGTAGCTTTGCGTTCGACTGTGATCACTAACCATTGTGGAGAACCGGAAAATTTTATGTTTTGGTTGTTTGTTCATTCGTTATTTTGTCAAATATCAATAGATGGCGAGGATCACATAGCTCTAGAATCCGTTTTGGGATAGGAGTTTTCCCCATGGAACCAAATTAGCTCTAACAGGTACTAGTCATGTTTAAAGTCTGCTCTCTCAGTCATTTTTCTCCTCAGTTTACCGGGGAAATTTCCCGGTCGGAATTAATACAGGTATTGACCAAACTTGTGTGAAATCCTGATTTTCATCACATTTTTTCCTCTCAATGCTTCGTTTCTCCAGCCTCATTCACGGGATTGAATATGATATTGCCCCGCATCATACTCCGTATATATGATGTAATACCCACTTATTTCTTCGCTTTTATTAGCCACATGCTATTAAAATGTACGATTTTGCGATTTCGACGATGGTTGCTGGTGCATCAATTGTAAAATTACAAAGTCACAGTAGAAAAAGTAACGAGAATTCATTTATTAAAATGACTCATAGACTTGATACAAGTATTGTACTTTCATCTCGCCCATGTTCCATTTGTCCTTCTTCATTTTCGAGCGCTGGAGGCAGTCGCGCTTGCGTGGAGTACAAACTGAACTGTACTGGAGTCCACCGAGTTAACTGTCAAACAAATTTTGCCAGTTTCCTCAAATACTCTAACCACTGACGACCACTGTAGAGGCAGCTGACTTATCCTTGTTTCTGATACAGAGAAAAGTTTTTGATTAAATTAAAATCACAGCTGCTGCGCGGTAATTGAAAGAGTTTGATATTGAACTTGACCTCTCCAGAGATTGCATGAATGTGATAAAATAATATTTAATTAGGGCTAACCGGTTTTCACCACCAACCTCAAACGAGAAACTATAACAACCTTCATCTGTGAAAAATATGACTTCCGTGAATTCAATTAAAGAGTGGCAGTCATCGAAAACCTCCCTTATCAGTGCACAATATTTTTCGATATCTGCGTTCAGGAGACCAGTAACAAGGCGCTCAGTATTTCTTTTCCTTCCAACTAATCAGGCAGAATGAATATTTACTTCTTTTGACAGGTAAAACAAAATTTATTAGAAAACTAGCTCAGTAGATTAGCTTTCTCCGCCTGCCGGGCCTCAGTGAGATGAACCCATTGCCAAATGGACGGGCAACGCGATTTGAATCCATACGTGCTCTGCTTTGATGGGCGTTCTTTAATGGCTTCATATCACTTGGCCTCAGCTGCACTTTATATTGGGTCATCATTTTCCAAACCAAGACGTAAGGAAAAAAACGACTAATCAGGCCCGACTATCATCCAGATTGGTTTTGTGCAACTCTTTTCTATTGCGATCAACTACAGCTATCGTCTTACTCTGATTTGATCGGTTTTCTCGCTCTCGGTTTTGATGGAGAGATTTCGTTGAATATGCAACAAATTGGACTTGTTCACATCGAAGCATTTCCACAAGACAAACAACTGAGTCATCGGATTTATGCGCCCCTCGATTAAGTTACCTCTAGACTTCAATTATATGTCAAAATCTTTTGAATGTTTCATCCGGTTTGGGTGTGTTGGTATTCAACGAGCCGCACACCTCAAGGTCAACTTTTATGTTTCTCTCCGTATTGTGGATAGTGCGTTAGTAATTTACAGCTAAATAATGTATCAATTTATTTAGGCTAGAAAACTTTCGTTAATTTGCTTATTTACTGTGCGCTGAATAAAAAGAGAAGGAGTTAAACTAGTGTGCTCAACTTAATAAACACTTTTATGAAACAGGAATCATTTGTTAAAAAAAATGAATTTCCATGCTACTTCGCTTAAAATATTTCTTAAATCTGAGCTGTAGCATTCGAACTACTACAAATTTCATCGCGACACTCACGGTCGTGCAAATTCAAACGGCCATAGAAGAGAACTACGAACATAGAAGTGGAAGATAAAATCAGAAAAAAATGCTCTCTACTCATAGCCATCAATCCACAAGTATAATGCTAGAGACTGAAATGTATTTCCAAAATGAGAGTGATGTTGCATGAGTTTGATCAACACCTGTACTAGACAAACATTAAACTACCAACTGTGCCCAATTTTTCTCCTGCAATTGCGCTGCATCAGCGAGGTGATTGCTTTGCTCACATTGTTGTGTTTTATGGTCTCGTTTGCCACGTCATGACTATTCCACCAGAAGATATGTGTCCGTCTCAGCTGAACAATCTGTTTCGTACTTTGTGGTTTGCTCTACGCAACAGAAATCTACTCGGGTCCCAACATCTGCCCTCTGTTCTCCACGGGGAAGCCTGTTGACAGGTTTACTTCTGTTTCTGCGTTCCCTCTGCCGTGATAGCAACAAGGGGACTTTCGTTGCCTAGACTTCGGACTTGACAATCGATCCACCGTCATTTCAGGTTGACTATCCGACTGACTGACTGACTACATTGGTTCATAGTGGTGGTGTTCACTGTTCGACATCGTAGCAGCTGCAGACGAAGCGTTAGTTGGTGGTTGTGTGTGCGTGTCTGCATGCGCGCTTGTTCCGCAGTCTCGATTCTTGTTCCTGATTGCCTGTCTGGTTGTGTAGCCTTGCGTACGTCAATAAGCCTCACCCCTACGAACGATGCTAGAACATTTCTATCCACTCCACCCCAACACACACACACCGTTCCACTTGTATCCTATCTATCCAACTATGTTCTGAGGTCCAATTCAGCCTAACCCACACAATTCGGGTACTATGATTACTGCCCGTTCGTCCTCTCCCTCTGTCACGTGATTCAAAGTGGCCTTGGTCGTCAAACTAAACCACAGCGATATTTTTAGTAGTTCTACGGAGCTGTGCGGCTGCCATCTGTCTGTCTGTCTATCCATTGAAGGCAAACGGTCCAGTAATAGTTTCGATTTCGTGGACAGCATCTGGTTTATCAGTAGTGTTGTTGCGCATTTCCATTAGTTCGTCCATTTCATCACTAATGGTTTTAGGGTTCTCATAGACCGTGTTTGATGTTTAATTTTATTCTAAATTGTATCGATGTTATCCGACCTGCTTCTTTTTTCATCTTAGTCTGACGACAGGCATTATTCATGAATAGTTTCATTTATATTGATGCCTTGGACACCCTTTTGGTTAATCTTATTTCTGTCGATATTTTATTTTCCAGGGACTTTATGTCGTGCACATATTCCCTCCTTGCGAGTTCTCGCACACACAGCTTAATTTGGCTGCACCGGAATTGTACAGACGCGTCATACAAGCCAATCAATCACATCTGCTGGTCGTGATCACCACGGTATAAAATCCGCTTCGGTACGTCCTCTTTGTCATCAGAGTTTCGAATGATGCATTTGAATTTTCCTGTTGTCATTTTTAGAAATGCACATGGTAATGGTTTTAATTTGTTAAATCAATGTGGATCTATCCTCACGAATAACTTCCTATTTCTGTTTGTTTATTGCAGCGATCTTTGCTTTGCGTGAATCGGGGTCCGAGGTTTACACGCCGCGGCTGATGCTCATATTAGTAGCATTGGAGCTACGGTCCGATTGATCGATATCACACGGACAATTTTGCTGGCCAAGCCAAGGTACCGCACGCGACGCGCACAAGCAGTTGCCCGACGACCGGTCGCCGAAGCACAAACAGACACGCTTATCCGCTGCTCGTCGTGCCCCACACTCACGGAAATGCCAGAAACCGAGCGAACAGGCAAGCAAACGGACATTCATCAATTTCAGTTTACAGTTGCCTACTTTTCACTGCATCCTATCGACCTTCTAGTCGCTCCTGTCCATTCGACATACCTACCCTGTCGTCTAAACATGCACATACACACACACACACACACCCACACACACAAACATTCGTTCTGTTCT